CGGGGATAGGATGGAAAGAAGGAACAACAACAACAAAATACATTTATAGAGCATGGGGGAGGGGTGGTGTAGGCGTGAGGGAAGGCAGAGAGGTGGGAGGGAAACCAAAGGCACAGTCGAAGAGAAGGGTCTTGAGACCGGCCTTGAAGGAGGCGAGGGAGGAAGCGAGGCAAAGGGACCGTGGGATGGAGTTCCAGAGTGTGGGGTCAGAGAGGCTGAAAGCCCGGCCACCGATGGTAGGGCGGGTCGGGCGGGAAACATGGAGCAGGACGGAGGCCGCTGAATGGAGGGAGTGGGCAGGTTGGTAGGGAGTCAGCAGGTCAGAGAGGTAGGAGGGGGAAACGCCAGGGATGTCCTTAAAGGTGAAGATGAGGATCTTCAACTCGATCCTCTGGGGGATGGGGAGCCAGTGGAGTCGGGCGAGGGTGGGAGTGATGGGGTCGCGGAGCCTGGGGCGCGAGAGTACACGAGCTGCAGAGTTTTGGATGATCTGCGGCTTGTGAAGGGAAGAGTTGGGAAGGCCGATGGGAAGGGAGTTCCTGTAATCGAGCCTTGACGTGACCAATGCATGGGTGAGGGTTTCGGCAGCCTGAGGGGTGAGGCAGTGGCCGAGGTGGTGGTAGGCAGTGCCGGTCATGGCGCGGATGTGGGAGAGAAAGGACAGTTCAGGGTCAAACAAGATACCCAGGTTCCTGACTGGCTTAGTGAGAAAGAGGGGAGAGAAGAGAGAGAGAGAGAAAAACAGAAAGAACAAGAGAGAGAGAGAGAGAGAGAAAGAGAGACAGAGAGAAAGAAAGAAAGAAAGAAAGAAAGAAAGAAAGAAAGAAAGAAAGAAAGAAAGAAAGAAAGAAAGAAAGAAAGAAAGAAAGAAAGAAAGAAAGAAAGAAAGAAAGAAAGAAAGAAAGAAAGAAAGAAAGAAAGAAAGAAAGAAAGAAAGGAGAGAGAGAGGAGAGAGGGAATTGCTGTATCCCTCTTACAATACTGCTCTCACCCCGTTAACCACAAGGATGTAAATATTTTACTAATAGCCTGGAATTTAATTTAACTTGTCATTAGATCAGGCAGCTAAGCAGTAGTCCTGCTGATAACCCTTGCGTTCTCTCTACCAGTCAGCACCGCCGTAGCAGCAGATAAGATGCGAAAATGGCAAGAGAGGAGGGAAGAAAAAATATAAAGTGAAAGAGAAACAAAGAGAAGCAGGTGCGATGGCAGGTGAAGTGGACGTGCAGCGAAGTGGAGGAGATAAAACGGTGCGGAGAGAAAGAAGGGGATAAGTGAAAAGGGAGAGAGGGAGAGAGAGAGAGAGAGAGAGAGAGACAGAGAATGATGGAAAGAGAGAGAGAGAGAGAGAGAGAGAGAGAGAGAGAGAGAGAGAGAATAAAACAACGGAAGAAGAGAGAAAGAAGTAGGGAGAAAGAGAACCCCGAAAAAAAGTGATTGGAAAAAAGTGGAGAGAGCAAGAAAAAAAAGAGAGAAAGCAAAGAAGAGAGGGAACGAGAAAGCGCAAGAGAGAAAGTGAAGGAGAGCGAGGGAAAGAGAGCCATCGTTACATATGTTCACATATCAGAATCCCAGGCAAATCCATGTCATTCATGACTGCAGGATTGCCAAACCAGTGACGCACTGCATTTAAGCAACAGCGAACTGCTGTAAAAGCCTCTCGAGAATGCACATTCCCCCCTGCGTACAATCCCTCGATCCTGACTTCAAGGCAGGAAAAGGACATTTCATATCCTTGAAGGAGACTCACATAAAAATCATATCCGCATCGTGTTCCCGGATCCCGCCAACCATCATAACAGGAGCTTATTAGCAGCCAGCGGGTCAAAATTGACGAACACTAAAATCTTATTTTAGCGTTTCGATTAGCGGGCTGATGGAGATTGATCTGTTCTGATGAGAAGACAGATGGTGTGCAAACCGAGGAGTAATTACTTTGAATGGTAAACTTCATATTATTCTGGATTTATTGGTACAAGCCGTGCTCTCTCCCGATTAACATTCAAATTGCAACCCTGACATTATTCTGCAGGGTGACACGGCGCATCGGAACATAAAAACTTCTCCATTTTAGGACTTTGGGAATTTCAGTCCTGAAGATAATTAGATTTTTTTTTCTTTACGCAGCATTATCGCAGGCTGCCTTGCCAGCCCTTCAGACACGGCAGCCCAGAGGCTCAGGTATTTTGTCTGGGTTATTAATGGGCTCTGGCACCCCGCACTGTCATAATAATAATAATAATGATAATAATCCTTGCATTTGATATAGCGCCTTGTCACCTCATTGAGACGTCTCAAAGCGCTTCACAGAATATACACTAAAGTACAGTGACTGTGCATTTTCTGGGCAGTCAGTTTGCGCACAGCGCCACCGGTTCATCGGTTCATCGGTGGTATTGCTCCATCGCTCTATCACCAGGCAGGTCAATTGGGAGAAGAAGGTCGTGGATTGAGTGACCAAATTATAATTTATTTATTTTTTGAAGGGATTATCACCCCCGAAAAAGCGAAAAAGCAATCCGCTAATTAACTAGCAACTGGAAACTGGGTTCCTACTCACTACTAGGTAAACAGAGGCGTGTGGAGTACGGAAACTTGCCCAACATTTCGCTCGAGGGCCAAGGGAATAACCCACGAGGTTAGTCAGCAGCAGACGCTTCGACAAGAAGGAGTGAAGGGTTAAGAGGACGTTGGGGGGGGGAAAAAAATCAGGTGGATCGCTCCGTGTTTTTGCACACATCAGAATCTCAGGCAAGTTCACATGTTGGAACAACAACAACTTGCATTTATATAGATCCCCACACGCAATGTAGAGTCCTGGAGCTCTGTATAGCAGAACAGCCAGATGTGGCTCACAGCCACACATAGCCACCTCCCTCTGCCCCTTGACGACTGGGTGGGCTGACAAGGTTGGGGAAAGCCCAATTCCCTTGAATGATGATAATTATTAAGAATAACTGCTGCTGCAAAGGGAGACCCTTTTTTTTTCCCCCTTCATACCTGTTCTCTCCGGCACATTGATTTTGTTTGTTTGCTGGTGGTGATTGCTATTGTGTTTTTCACCAGCTTACCAACTGCTCAATTTGCATCAGAAGAAGTGGTAGCCCACTCCTTGGGTGAATGACAGCTCTTCTGTTGCGGGGAAAACAAATGGGATCAGCAGGTAGGGTCACGGGGGGAGGGGGGGGGGGGGGGGGGGGGGACGGACAGTGAAGAGAACGTATGAATCTCAAACAGTCAATTGCAAGTTTGAGAAACTGGAGCACCTGAGCATCAAAGGTTTCTTGAGTGTGTGTGTGTTTGTGTATATGTGTGCAATCTCATTCTGTGTATCCCAGCAACCGGCATTGTGGACTAAAGCGACGTTAAATACAACATTCAAAAGGTGAAGTACAGCAGATGCTGGAAATCTGGTAGGAACACAGAAGTCGCGGGGAACACGCAGCAGGTCAGTTCTGACGAAAGGTCATAGACCTGAAACGTTAACTCATTTTCCTCACTCCAAGGATGTGCTGCCTGACTTGCTGTGTACTCCCAAATTCTTCTGTGTTTCTATTAAATACAACATTGCTCCTTCACAGTCTGCAATGAATGAGCTTGTATGACAACCGACCTCCCCTCAACGCAAGTGTGATGATACAACAGGATGACTGAAACCCAATCCTCTGCCTCACCAAGGAAACAACGTGTGCGAGTGGAAAACCTTTGCTTTCCATTAGGACCGTTTGTTTTGGAATATGCGTTTCCAAGAAGAGATCTGAGTACTTGCTCTGCATTCATTTTTTTGTTTGTTTGTTGGTCAGCCGGGTGTCTGACACACGGGGAAACCCATCAACGTGCTTAAGAGTATCCAAACCAAGCTGAGGATTTCATCCCACGTGGAAATCCCACAGAGGGAATGTCGGAATGGAACATGCTCTCTCTCCCTGGATTAACTATTTCAGAAGTTAGATTGATTAAGAAAGGCCAGCTGTTCTGCAGGCGGTAACTTTTCTCAAGGCGACAGTGGTTTCCCTGATCGACAGGCCTCACGTTGTTAGGATCCGAAGGCCAGCTTCGATTTTACCTCTTCTGAGAAAAGCTACCTTTTAACAGAAGAGGTCCATTGCATTAGTAGGTTTGCTAAGCTTGCTCAATACGGGGGGGTTAACAAGGGATTCGGTGCCTCAACCTCTCGTCTGAGTCTAGTTTATAATATTCCTTACCAACTAGAGAAGTCCCACAAATGCAGCCTTGCAGGCACGATTAGAGCATTTAAAAACCTGGTAAAACCCGTGCACTGCTTCAGGCCAATGTACGTCCCATTAGTCGACAGGACCTCAATTAGCTCTGCTCCAGCCACAAAACCTCTTTGCATTTTAATAAGTAAAATTTTAATACCACAGGTTAATTAGTCCAGTGGCTTAAACACCATGTATATGAGGCTTAGCTTGTGCTTTTATGTTATCACACGGTATGATTTCTCCAGCTGTTGCTGGGAACGTGATGATCAGGAGAAGTTCTATATTAGCAGTTCTTCTTGCTACTCAGTCTGTACTTAAATCATTTCAACCCTGGAAGCTCTCCATCCCCTTCCCTGATCATGTGAGTCAGTCTGGCTCAGTTGGTAGCCCTCTCGCCTCTGGTCAGAAGGTTGTGGGTTCGAGCCTCCTATCGATACTTGGAACTCACATAGTCTAAGCTGACACTCCAATGCTGTACTGGGGGTGTACTGCATTGTCGGAGGTGCTGCCCTTCGGATGAGGGGTTAAACCAAGGTCCCATCTGCCTGTTCAGGTGACCTTTAACGATCCCATGGCACTATTCGAAAAGAGAAGGGAAGTTTCTCCAGGCCGAGAATCCCCCAAATACAATCACTCACTATGTCTTCTTTGCGAGGCATTGCTGTGCGCAATTCGCTGCAAGGCCCAAGAAACAGGCCTGACTGAGCGAACGACTTTTCAGGAGAGGAAGAAAAAAATAATAAGTCAGGAGAAATGAAATTTGGCAAATGGACTCACCAGGTGCTCCAGGACCTTTGCGCTGGTTGGATTCAGGTTTAGCGCCTGATCGTAAAATTGTTTGGCTTCCTCCGGGTTGTTCCTCAGTTCAGCCAATCGTCCGCGCATCAGCAGCACATCGTGGGACATGGCGTAGAGGCTGGCCGCTTCCTGGATGCAGAGGGAGGCTTGTGGGGAGTTCCGCAATTCAATGAAGAGCTCGGCTGGGTTTGAGGAAAAGAAATGTCATCCGTCAAGCTCAGACCATGGAGAGCGAACAGACGGGTCTGATTTAATGACCTTGCCAGATATCAATAGCCTTGAGGTGGTGGGTGTGATGAGCAGGGGTGAGGGAGGGAGGGAGGGAAGGAAGGAGGGAGGGAGGGACGGACGTTTCGCCTTCAGGATAGGATGGAGTGAGGTGGGTTGGGGGTGAAAGGAAGATTCGGTAATTATATCACCATCCACAAAGAGGTGAGATTTTTCAGACTCCAAAGAGTTAACTTTTTCAACCCAACAACAGATTGCCATTCTTGAAACGGTCCAGTTTCCTATTTTAAAGATGTTTCTGGAGACTGCGTAACTGGGTGCTCCATCAAGCTGACACTCTGGATAAGGACCCTGCTCAATTTGTTATTCTAATACGTTCGGCTGGAAGTGAGGAAATAAACCCACTGTAAATTCATTCGAGGAAAGAAAATATTGAAAATAGTTGTCAAAAAGTCCACTGGCAATTTACTGCAGTCCGCGATTCAGGCCCTCGATGTCTCCCGGCGGCTTCACACCAAGCTCTCCTTCAGCCGCGACCGTGGGCAACACGGTCTCGAATGACAATAAAATATATTCTACATTTGGTAGCCTCGCTTTTACCCATCAGGTCAAAACGTCTCAAAGAGCCTCACTCGAAAACGGCTATCGGTTGCTTGTCACTGCGCGTTTATGGGCAAACTTGGCGGCCAATTTGCACCCAAGTGAAGCGAATGACCACATTTATTTGGGTGGTGCTTGGCCCAGTTCGCCAGGAGAACCTCCCTTGGTTTTTTTCCCACCGAATGCTGCCGTGCGATCTTTAACGCCCGAGGTGTTTCCGCGTTATTGGCGCCACAAAGCTGCAAAGCGTATTTCATTATTATTCGCTGTATTAAACGGGAAACGTCTCCTTCAAAACACAGTTTGATATGATTTTTTTTTCTCCCTGGCGACCCGACTCATTTCTCACATTGTCGTGTGAGAATATTGTCCTGCCTCTAAATTAATCTCTCGATCTTCCCTTCTGAATCCACGGTCACTGCCAGACATTGTACCTCTTCAAGGCTCTGGCAGTTTAACAAAAATCCACAGTGATTGCAGTCATGCGACCCTGCAATTGGCCAGTTCTTGCACTGTGTACATTTTCTGGTATCTTTCGCGATTAGTTCCAGCAATAAAGGGCAAAGAACATTTTATGCGTCACTTTGAAGGAGACCTAAAGACCCGTTTCGTAATCTACCAACACGACTGCTTTTGGCTTCCTCGCTCACTTAACCCCTTCTTGCTGAGGCCTCTCAGAGCAGCCCTTGCCTTACCCACCCACCGTCATCTCTTCCCCCGCATTTTGCAACCTTGCTGGTCTCCTGGACTGTGAGACCTTGGACCCAATCATCTCGGTTTCTCCATAAAATTATTATTCCTTAGTCAGGTTCCTTTCACCAAAGATCGGAAACGTATTTCACTTTCGGAGGCCCTAAATTCCAGCTGAACTCGCACTCATACTGAGGAAGGGGGAAGAGAGGCGAGGGTGGCAGAAAGCAGGCAGGGTGGAGGGAGAGAGAGAGAGGGAGGTTGAAGGGTGGAGAGAGAGGTTAGAGGGTGAGGAGGAAGAGGATGGTGAGAGAGTGAGAGGGTGCAGGATCGGGAGAGAGGTTAGAGGAGAGAGGTTAGAGGCTGAAGAGGTGGTGAGTGGGTGAGAACAGAATGATTGGCTCACTGTTGTATTATTATTGAGTGTCAGTGATTAGCATTCAGACTGATGCTATCTCCCCCTCCACATCACAGTGTGTGGAAGACTTTGTTTCAAGTGTCCGTGAGGCTAAGCCCATGACGATATCTGTAATAGCAATAATCCTTGCATTTGATTTTGTGACTCTTGATTTTGTCACATCTTCGAGGCTTCTCAAAGCACTTCACAGAACATACTCTAAAGTTAATTGACTGCGTATTTTGTTGGACGAAACGCGGCAGCCAATTGTATACAGCAGCGTCCCACAAACAGTCGTGGATTGAAGTGATCAAATTATTATTATTTATTTAAAAAAAAGTGTATAAATGTATATTTTTTTTGAAGGGATTATTACCCCTGGAAAAGTGATCTGCCAATCGACTAACAGCCGGATTCCGACTTACTGCTGGGTAAACAGAGGTGTGTGGAGTAAGGAAACTTGCCTAACGTTTGGCCCTGGTGGGAACTGAACCCAGGTCCTCTCGCTTGCGAGGCGAGTGCTCTAACCGCTGAGCTACAGGACTCCACAATTCAAAAGTGAAATGAATCGTATTTGAAGGCAAACCATATCAGTGGTTTACAGTCGTATCCGTCCCCTTTCTCATCCTCCATTCGTTTTTCTTACTCCAGTTCTTCTCTTTTTCTTGTTGACATTCTCCTACCCCCTCCCACCCACCCACCACCCCACCCCCCCGCCCCCATATCATCCCGACCCCCATGAGTTGAAGCGCTGACACCTACCTGCCTGCAGCCAGATCTGCTCCAGGGTGATGGACATCTGTCTGGGTGCCTGGCTCACGGCAGTGCTCTGTGCAGAAATCTCAGACATGGCAGACTCCATCCTGGAGGCAGAAGCCGAAGGCACCCGCAGTGAGCCTGTGGGACGGAGAGGTCATTCGGATCAGGGCCTTTTTCACTTGGTTTCGAAAGACAGTACAAAAAAAAATCATTTCGAAAGTGAAGCGCGACAGATTGGATCATCTTAACTCCTGAAGTGCTGTGCCCTTGTGTGCAGCTCCCGTCACCGTCGAGCCACACTGTGTCAGCTTGACTCAGTCGGTCATAACGTAATCCTTGTATCTCATACAGCGCCTTATCACGTCTTCGAGACGTCTCAAGGCGCTTCACAGAATAGACTGTAAAGTGAACGGACTGTGTGTTTTGTGGGCAAAAGCAGCAGCACGCTTGCCTCTGGGGCAGAAAGTTGTGGGTTCGAGCCCCAGGTCAAGGCTTGAGATCACAGTCTGGGTCGATGCTCCAGTGCAGTAATATGGCATTGCCAGATGTGCCATCTTTTGGATCGGATGTCAAACACAGAACCCACCTATCTGTTCAGGTGGTTGTTGAAGAGCGACATGGACCCTAACACTGTAGATTGAAACTGAAGTCGAGTGGTTTCGTTGCTCCCTTGTTGGCATTACTTAATCTATTGGCGTTCCTTTCTCCCCCAATCCCGAAGACTCTCACTCTCGCAACGCTCTGGCTTTCCAACTCCAGTTACTGTTACCCAGCACTTAAAGTCAGCAAACGAAAACTCCCCCCTTCCCCCCAACCCCTTAAAATTCCCCAAATACATTTAGACCGCAGGTACAGCAGATACGTTTGTAGGGACAGGAATACTGTAGGCCTGCAGTGAAATGTAGGATTCCGTCCGAAAGCGGTATGAGCTGCGGCCGGACAGTGTCGACCTGTGTCTCGTTTTTATATCACAGAGTCGGATTTTGTGCACCCAAACCCTCTGCTTTATAAATTGGCCATTCACTTTGTGTCTGTGGGCAAATTGTGCTGCCGCAGTTGACGACAAAACCTGTCAATATACAGTACGCCGGACAGAAAATGACTTCTGAAGCACCCCGAGACTTTTCAGAGGTACAGGTTTCGGGTGCAATGTTGGAGAGGATGTCCCAGCGCCTTGGGATGTCCTCTCTGTGTGAAAGGCGCTACACAGATGTCATTTTGTATGGTATTGTAACGATTATTACCCGAGTCTGGATCCAGAAAGTCAGGCAGGCTGAGCATTCCAGCGCCAAGCCGGTCAGTCACATTCCCCTCGGCCACGCTGCCCTGAATAGTGCTGCGTTTCTCAGTCAGTGTTCCCTCTGCCACAGCGTTTTCCTTGTCGTATTCACTGCAATGAGAAAGGACAGGACTGTGCACAGGAATGACACAGGGGTGCTCTCCTCTCACCGGTTCATCGTTGGTTCCTTTTCTGTGGTTTATTCCCCCCACCCACCCCCAATCCCCCCCCCCCCAGCATCTTGTAGCTCAGCGGTTAGAGCACTCGTCTCGCATGCAAGAGGACCTGGGTTTAATTCTCGGGCAGGGCGAAAGGTTGGGCAAGTTTCCTTACTCCACACGCCTCTGCTTACCTAGCAGTACGTTGGTCGATTGGCAGATTGCTTTTCCGGGGGTAATAATCCCTTCCAAAAAATAATAACAGTAATTTGGCCACGACCGCTGTGTGAAATTGGCTAAACTTAGTGCAATCATCTCAGATGTAACCAAGCAAGAAGAAAAGAGAGCAAAGGTTCAGGGTTGCGAAGGTCAATTTCGGAAACAGGCATCAGAAACTATTTCTTTACACACAAGGTAATTGTTGCCTGGCACAAGTTAACCAGGAAGAGTAGTTCGCTCATAGGATGCCCATAGTTGGACTCAATAAAACATGGCTTTGATGCTGAGATGGTTAGACGACAAGGCCGGGCGCTCTGAAGGATGGGATCAAATAGGCCTAAAGGCTTTCTTCAATCAAATCTCTCGTCATCTAGTGAAGTGCACCAATTAGCTGGTCTGGCTGCACTGGAAGGGAAATGGTGGGAACCTACCTGGAGCGTAAAATGTGAATGGTTTGCCACAGGTTTAACATGTGCTGGCAGGTGTCAAGAGCTTCAGCTGGTCCTTTGTGCACCGCTTCAAGCTTGACTTTAGTGAACAGCAAACTAGAGGAGAGAGAAAAAAAGGCATATCCTGTAATTACTTTCAGCCCAACTTTGCTCCTTCTCTCAAACTTTCCCCCCCAATATCACTTCACACGGTGCCCTCTATCGTTGCCTTGCCTTCAAAACCCTCTTGAAACATCTCTCTTGGACTGTGCTTACAGTCAACAACCTAATACGCTCACGTTTCCCCTCCCCCACCCCCACCCTCACCATGTTCAGCGACTTTACAAGGTGCTTCAAGACGTTATCCTTCACGTTATATGTGAAAAGATTCCTCAAAGGTGGCCCTCAAATCCCGTTGGAGGTGCCCGTGTTTCACAGGAGATGCTAAATTGAGATCCCATCTGCTTGTCATTCAGGTGGATGTTAAAGATCCCATGATTTTAATACTAACAATAATTTGTTATAGCGCCTTATCACGTCTTTGAGACGTCTCAAAAATCGCGGATGTACATATATAATATACACAGTGTATCCTATAAAGTAAATTAAGAATCGTTTAATAATTATAATAGAAAAGACAAGGGAGTTTCTCCCAGTTTCCTGGCCAACAACTTTACTGATTTAAGTTGGCCATTCAACTTGTGACTGTGGGATCTTGCTGGGGGCTAAACGGCTGCTGTGTTTGCCTTAAAACAACAACAACTCCTTGCATTGATATAGCGCCTCTCACGCAGGGTAGTGTCTCGTAGCGCTTGAAACGCTCGACAGTAAAGCCCTTTGAGACATTTCGACTTGAGGAATCACACGCTACAATAGCCCAAGTTCTTTCTCGTTATTTCTTACAAAATTAGTGCCTATTTTAAAAAGAGACAAACAGGCTTTAGGGATGTTAAGCTCACTGTAAACACGCTCACTGTGAGGGAGGGAGACAGCAGTGTGTGCTGTGTCAGAGCCTACGGCATATCAAACAGAGTAACAAAGAGGGTCTTTTATACATACTTTATCTGTGGAAAGGTCACACAAAATTTGTCTTGTATCAAGGGCTATTAATATGAGCGGCTATAAATGGGGTGCTTCATATGGGCTCGCTGTGCTTGAGAGGCTAAAAGCAATGTGCGTTGTAACAAAGATGATGGCTCCAGCGTTAACGTAGAACCACCGAATTACAGCACTTAAACAGGCCAATCAGCCCATCAAGCCTGTGCTGAAGTCTTCTCCACCCGAAGCTCCTCATCCTATCCCACTCTCTTGCTTAAACACTGTAATATTCTTCCTTCCTCCCCCACTGCCCCACAAGTTTGTGCCCTCCCATTGCTGACTCACAGAACAGTGGTTATAATTTATCGCTACTCCTACTAATAATAATCCTTGCATTTGATATAGCGCCTTATCACGTCTTCGAGACGTCTCAAAGCGCTTCGCAGAATAGACAGTCAAGCGAATTGACTGTATATTTTGTGGACTGATTTTATCATGATGCAATGCAACCAGATGTGCCCCGATACACACATAATAATAATCCTTGCATTTGATATAGCGCCTTATCACGTCTTCGAGATATCTCAAAGCGGATATACTGGATATACTGGACAAACAGGATATACTGTAAAGTGATCGACTGCATATTTTGTGGGCAAAACCTGGCAGCCAATTGCGCACAGCAGCGTCCCCACAAACAGTCGTGGATTAAGTGACCAAATTATTATTATTATTATTATTTTTTTACCCTCTTTACCCTATTGTGACCCTTCATAATCCCGAAGACCTGCATTGGGTCATAGTTTAACCATCTCAACTCTGGTGTAAAATGGTGTACCCCTCACCTTCCCCCCCGCCCCACCCCACCCCACACACACGCAATTAATTGAACAGGATGTTTGAGAGGGTCAGATACCAGGCTCCCTTGTTGCGTCTTCACTCTTGTGCTCGACTTGTGGCAGCAACCACTTGTCCCTGGTATTCAAACTCGCCCTCAATTTATGCTTCCAACTGGAAGCTGTGTTGGCACTGGCCCCCAAGCTGAGGATTGCTGAATTGGCACCAGGTCAGTGCAACGCGGCCTGTGCTTCAATGACCCCACCCCCCGCCTCCTCTCTCTCTCTCTCTCTCTCCCTGTCTCTGGTTCACAGCCGAAACCCAAGAACCTTGGCACAGATCCCGGCCGACACCTGCCCCGCGCCCTCGCAATGAGCAGACTCTCAGCCCCGCACTTTAGCCTCTCTGCCCCCACCCTCCAGAACTCCATCCCACAGACCCTCCGCCTCGCCTCCTTCAAGACCCGTCTCAAGACCCTCCTCTTCGTCCGTGCCTTCGGTCACCCTCCCCGCCCTCCACCCCCTCCTTGATCCCAACCACTAGCTCGGGTGAGGATCCCTGACTGTCCAGCGCCTTGGGACGTCCTCCTGTCGTGAAAGGCGCTGAGCAAATGTGATTTGTTGTTGTTGTTGTTGTCCAAAAAAGGGCACACTAACCGACCGGAGAAGTGTGTCAGGCTTTTCGGGAGCCAGAACCTCGCTCTTTCTTTGGCAAAAAGCTCACGGCTCCCACCCCCGACACACTGCCTTGCGAGGGAGGGTTGCATTCTGTGGGTAACCCAGACCCCTAACCCTCCGAAACACCCTCCAGCCGGGATCCAGTCTTGTGGAACTCAAGGTGGGCTTCTGGGGGAGTTTCGTGTAGTCGGCCCGGGTTACACGCAGGATTTGTCCTTTGCACGTCCCCCCCTCCATCACCCCTAAAATCTAAAACAACTTGAACACACCCGCTCCCCCCCTCCACCCCCGTTTCTCCACCCAAACCGTCTACCGCACGCACACCCCGCACGCACAAACACCACCCCCCCCACCACCCACCCCTCCTCCCTCCCTCCCTCCCTCCCTCGCCTGGTAATTCATCACAAGACTCTCTTTATTGGAAACGAAACACACTGGGAACCCATGGCTCTCAGTTGTCGCTGCCGCACTATGAGAAGCATTCGTGAAATTCACATACGCCTACAGCTATCCAAAAAAAATTAAGCTGCTGGAATCCGCGATCCACTTGTGTTGCCTCGGCTAACGTGCTCCACACGACAGAGAGGTGGGGGCGATGCCAGTCAGCCGGCGGCTGCAACGAGAGCCTGGACTAGCTGCAGTGGGCGAGACATTGCCCGAAGACCACAAAATTCCAGCCTTTTGCAGCCTTATTCCCCCTCTTCCCACCCCTTCCCCTCCCACTCCTCTCCTCCCACTCCTCCCCTCTCCCTCAATTCACTTCACCATCGAGTTTGTGAACCGCCAAACACGGGGGCTGCAGGACCCCGGATGAATTTCTTTCAAATAAACTTAACGAGAACAATTTTTTTCTCTGAAAATAATCCTCGCGTTTGATCTATCAATCAATAATAATCCCTCCAAAAAAACATAAACAATGATAAATTGGTCATTTTCAATCCACGACTGTTTGAGGGACATTGCTATGCGCAATTGGCGGCCGCGTTCGCCCACAAATATACAGTCAATTCACTTTACAATGTTCTGTGAAGCGCTTTGGGACGTCCTCCCGACGTGAAAAGCGCTGTATCAAATGCAAGGATTATTATTATTATTATTATTATTATTGTCTAGAGTGTTTGCTGTTGGGAGGACATCTCAAAGAGCCTCGCAGGAATTACCGTGTGGCGCTTGGAGATGTTCGCCCGACAGCAAGCGCTTGGGACTCTATCCTGCGTGACGGGCGCTATATAAATGCACGTCGTTTTTGTTGTTGTTGTTACTGTAAAGTGTAGTGACTGTGTTTTCTGTGTGCTTAGGAAAGCAGTTGAGGGTATTTTGAACGCAGATGTGCAGATGGGCTGGTTTGCTCTGAATAGATTATTGCAGATGAGGGAAAGGTATGTGAAAACACACTGGTGCGCTAATCAGCCCGTGGCGGGACATTCTGCTCCCGGAAATACCCCGGACGATAGCTGCCGTGCACGGGTACACAGGATCTTATGTGTCTTCCGAAGGATGGTGCCTCAGACAATTTGGCATTCCTCCAGTGCTACTCTGCACTATCGACCTAGAGTGTGAGTTTAAACTCATAACTCCTGCCTAGGCCTCGTGCTCTCCATTCCACCACCATCGGCGGCTGCGCTTTCAGCCACTACGCCCTGAAACTCTGGAGCACTCTCCCTCTATCCTTCCGCCTAGTCCCTTCCTTCCCCATCTTGAAGACCTTCCTCTTCGACCATGCCTACAGTCATCTCCCCCTCCCCCCAGCTGGGGGTCATGCTCTGGCACTGTCAAGCGCTCTGGGACGCCACCCTGCATCAGGGCGCTGTATAAGTGCACGTTGTTGTTGTTGAACCCAACATCTTCTGAACCAGGGCCGTTTGAGCTACCAAATGAGCCACGGACACCTGAAACAACCTCTCCCCCCCAATACCGACTTAGTTCAAATAGCTTTGCTAAGGAAACCGTTGAGCCTCCTGTTGCTGTCCCAAGTGCAGAAGAACACCTGCTCGATTCAGGCTTTAAATTTGAGTCGAGTTATAGAGCCCTGTGTTTTAGAAATAGCAAGTTAAATCTGTGAAGCACCTTTCACTTAAAATAAATTTCTCAAAGTGCTTTACAGGATGAAGTGAATGTGGTTTTACACAAGCACGGAGCGAGTGGGTGGGGTGGGGGGTGGGGGGTGACAGAACAAAAGCTGACAATCCGTTGAAAATTCCTGCGGCTCTCGAGGCCAATGTTAGCGCTGAACACCGACACGTCTCTTGTGTCTATTTCGAGGGATGGTGCGTGATTGGAGGTACGCCACATACTCAGGTTAACACACGCATAGCTCAAAAGACAGCAACCAAACACGCTGCGATGTTTATCATGAGCACATGGCAACTATCCAGCAAGAAATGTGGTTATTTCACGCGTTAATACTTGAAAAACATTTTCTGGATTGCAGCTCGGCTCAGTCGGTAGCACTCTCGTCTCTCGATTAGAAGGGCTCAAGCCCCACTCTGTTCAGGGTGACATTCCAGTGCAGTACTGGGGTGAGTGCTGTTCTGTCTGCCTGTTCAGGTGGACGTTAAAGATCCT